CTTAGAAATCATCTCAGCATTAACATCAATTGCACCCAGCGTTTGATCATTTACTGGAACGTTCCTGGCAGCCAGGTTAATATGGTCGTCAGCTAGTATCTCATTAGTGAATACAATGGCAAACTTTTCGGAAAAAAGGTGGCATATATCCTGAAGAGTGGCAGCAACTTCTCCGTTGAATTCCATAGACGATGGGAGGCCGGATTCCCTGCGTTACTCGTTCACGTAGTTCCAGAAGGATTTCGGGTGTAGCTTAAGTTTGCGCTGGATGCCTCGTTGGAAACTTGAAAAGCATTCACGACTGATTCGCTGGTACAATTGATTCAGCCTCACATAATGTAGTTTCAGAGGAAGCGTGCGATACTTCGTAAATCTTCTCAATGCTGCTCTCTTGATTGACTTCAACCTACGTAGCTCGCTCGTCTGCCAGGGAGGGTGAGACACTTTGTGGTGAGTTCTTTTCGGGACGTGTCTGTCAATGACATATGCCAAGACATGTGAAAAGGTCTGCGCTGCAGCCTCAACGTCATCTGGATCAAGGATGTTCTCCCATACCATGCTAGACAATACATCTATGATGCTACGGCGGTCAGCTTTACGGAAGTCATAAGAAACCGTAGCAGGATAATTGTCGAAATCACGCACGAGTTTGTCCTCAACAGTGACAACTAGAGGAGGGTGATGTGAAACTAGCTTAGCTAGTGCACAAGGAGCCGAGGAAATTAATGGAGCCCTGTCCTGTTTGCTCACGAAGCAGAAGTCCAAACTACGGCCGACAGTGAGTGTCGATGAGTTCATTGTCCCGGACTCGATCAGGTCGAATGTACAGAGCGCATAGAAATAGTGTGCGATCACCCAGATTGATGGCTGTCCAAACCTGCTCTACATAGTTCCATAAATGGCCTTTGCCTCCAACCCGTCACGGACAGCTACAAGAACACCTCCACCAGTAGATTTACGGCTGTTGTTAGGATTTCGATCGCAACGAAAGACCTCGTAGTCAGGACTTGACTGGAAAGCGTTCGATAATCGAGCCACGTTTCGCACAGGACAATTACATCGTAGCAACAATCCGATACAGCTAGGCGGTACTCTTCAACATCAGAATTCATTCCACCGGCGTTTTGGTAGAAGATCACGACGTCCTGCTTGCGGCAAGGAATCGAACGACTGCTCTCCCTGGAAATCACAGATACATCAGTGTAACTGAACGGGCATATGTGGTGGCGCTAATTTTTTAGTCACCCTATCATCTGGCTACCCTGTAAGGTAGCTGTCATTCGGAAAATGTATCGAAAAGTGTACACCGAAATTAGTTTTAATGTAGCTTCCATTGGAAACGCACATGATTTTCATCCATAATCAAAATTAATGGAATTCATCTGAATTTCACATAACATTTATGCGATCACATGAATTTTATATGATTTTTCAAATGAATTTCATCGGCCTCATAATATTCATGTGATTTTGTGGTGGGATTTGCTGCTATGTGATCACAGGAAAGCTATGTGAAATTCACATGGATTTCATCCATTAGATATGTGATAATTTTTTTGAGTGTAAGCCACGTGAAAAGAAATAAAGTTTCGTTTTACTAAATATTCCGCCGCGTTGTTATTTCTTCGTCACCTCCGTCCCACACTACCGTGATAATGTTTGCACCATAGAGCAATGTAAAATTAAAAAAATTCTCAAAAATTTCGTTTTCGAATTTTTTTTTTTTATTTATTCAAAGGGGGGATGTTTCTCAGAGTCTTAAACTATGTTAATCATCGATCGAGTTTCCACTTGCTGCTTCCGGAATGTACGGCAGGTTCTAATAATGTAGTCTGGATTCATTTCTCTCCAGATACGGGTCAATGTTTGTCTGAGGCTTGCTGTACTCGGGTGGCGTTTAGAACAGGCATTGGCCTTCATGACGCGCCATATTGAGTAATCCAGCGGATTAAGATCGGGGCTGGATGGCGGCCACATATCCTTCGCCCTTCTGAGTGCGGTTCGAGGTGTGGCACGGAGCCCCATCTTGTTGAAATACAACATTTGGCTTCGGACCGTACTGTTCTTTGATCCACGGAAGAACATACTTGCTTAAAATCCCGATGTAGACCTCCGTGTTGACCTTGTCGCCTTCTGGAATGAACACCGGGTCCATTTTTTGCCATCGGAAGCCACCAATCCAAACACCATAACGCTAGCAGGATGCTTGATCAGATACACGTTCTTGTGCTCGTCGGCCACGTCTTTTACCGGAAGAGAACTAATATACCGGTCGGTTCTGGAATTTGATACGGGATCGACGGTAAACATGCTCTCGTCGGTGAACAGGATTACCGGATTTTTTCGCTTAAGGAAGTTCAAGATTTTCTTGCATCGTTCGACTCGTAGCTCCCGGATGCGGTTGGTTGTAATGTGAGTTTTTTCCGTGCCCTCGACTTCGCCCCGCAATCTTCCTTTACGATCTTCTGTGCCGTAAAGTCACTGATCCCGTGTTCCTTTGCCATTTTCCTTATTGAACGCACTGGATTCACCCGAATCTTCCTTTTGATAGCAGCGATAACCCTCGGAACCCGAGCTGACCTCGGACGACCTGTGGCCACCTTCGCGGATAATTGTCCTTTCTTTTCTAGGTCTAAAACCCTTTTGACGGTCCACCGGGACACTCCCACGGCGATTGAAATGTCTTTTTGCGACATTTGCGCGTGGGACAAATCACAAATACGCTGCCACTTCGTCATGGTGCAGCTGTCAAACTAAGTTAATCATTTTTTTTATACACAGCCTACTACGGTATGAGCTATAGGTTACGTGCATGCAAAGAAAACCAAGGCATTGTATGCACAGGTGACACGGGAACCTTGTTTGTACGATGGTGAAAACATTATCACGCATACGGTATTCCGCCGCGTTGTTACTTCTTCGTCACCTCCGTCCCACACTACCTGGGGATTATTCCGAGAGTGTGCAAATCAATTGAAGATTCACGTCACCACGACGTGACTTTTCACACTTCACTAGTGACAAAAGTCACTTCGACTCTCGGAATAACGCCCCACCATACAGATTTTTAGTGGTTTGTTTGAATTTGCTCCTTTCTTGTGCTATATCGATCAAGCCAAATTCAAAGGTAGTACATGTGTGATGTGGGTGGACACATTGCCCAATTGACGAAATTGCCCCACTTCCCCTATATGAAAAACTAAATTGATCAGTTATCAGTAAAAATGTTCTCAATACTCAATTAAGCCTATGCTGCGCGTCACAATTGTCACCTCAGGTGAGGTGCAAATCAAATGAAGAGTTACTCGAGAAAGGTAAGTGTGTCACCTCATGTGTGTGTCACCTCATCTTACACACCGCGCAGAATAGGCCTAAATATTCGACGATTGCAAATTTTGAAACCTTAACAATTGGGGGGATCTACAACTCAAACCCCCCTACTAAAATTTGAGGATCATAAAGAGTGATACGGTCAAAATTTGGTCAATATCAACTTGACGTATTTCTTTCAATTTTTCCATTTAAAAAACCTGAACACCCCTCATTTTGAAGGTGTGTGTGTGTAGAATGTGTGCTCCTATTTTGATTTTGGAATTCACTCTTCAGTTGTCAAAATGCCGTCCAAGCAAGAAGAGCAGCGTATCAAAATTTTGCTCGCGCATCGCGAAAATCCGAGCTACTCGCACGCAAAGTTGGCAAAATCGCTAAAAGTTGCCAAATCAACCGTTACAAATGTAATTAAAGTGTTTGGGGAACGTTTGTCGACAGCCAGGAAGTCTGGATCGGGGGGAAATCGAAAACCGGAAGCCGCTGAGACGACAAAGAGAGTTGCCGGTAATTTCAAGCGAAACCCTAACCTCTCTCTCCGAGATGCCGCAAATAAGCTGGGTGTATCGTCTACAACCGTGCATCGAGCCAAAAAACGAGCCGGACTATCGACTTACAAGAAGGTAGTGACTCCAAATCGCGATGATAAACAAAATACGACGGCCAAAGCGCGATCCCGGAGGCTGTACACGACGATGCTGACGAAGTTTGACTGCGTGGTAATGGACGACGAAACCTACGTCAAAGCCGACTACAAGCAGCTTCCGGGACAGGAGTTTTATACGGCAAAAGGAAGGGGAAAGGTAGCAGATGTTTTCAAGCACATGAAACTGTCAAAGTTCGCAAAGAAATATCTGGTTTGGCAAGCCATCTGTACCTGTGGCTTGAAAAGCAGCATTTTCATAGCTTCCGGGACTGTCAACCAAGAAATTTACGTGAAAGAGTGTTTGAATAAACGTCTGCTGCCTTTCCTGAAGAAACACGGTTGTTCCGTACTGTTTTGGCCGGATTTGGCATCTTGCCATTACGGTAAAAAGGCCATGGAGTGGTACGCCGCCAACAACGTGCAGGTGGTTCCCAAGGACAAGAACCCTCCCAACACGCCAGAGCTCCGCCCAATTGAGAAATACTGGGCTATTGTCAAGCGGAACCTAAAGAAGACCAACAAAACTGCTAAGGGCGAGCAGTAGTTCAAGGCAAACTGGCTTTCTGCGGCGAAGAAGGTGGACAAGGTGGCTGTACAAAATCTGATGGCAGGGGTCAAGCGTAAGGCCCGGCAATTCGGATTTGGAAAAGCGGAAGCCTAACTGAATATTTTTCCTGAATTTTATACTAATTGAACTTGAAAAAGAAATTTAATTTGATTTTTTAAATAAACGATTTCACCGATTTACACGCGTTTTCCCGGTTTTCCCTTGACCAAATTTTGACCGTATCACTCTTTAATCAGGACTTTTCACAACATTGATAGTCGGTTGTTTTAAGCTTGTGACCTACCGAGAGACCAACCCACGACGACTAAGTATTTCAATTTTTGTTCGTAGATTTCCGGGCTTACCTCAATTCGAACTGAACTTCTCTGAAAAATTAAAAAAAAAGCTTGAAATTTAATGAATTTTGGGGGCAAGGATCCATCGGATATCTTCTGTATAAAAACAATATATCAACATCTGAATTGGCTCAAAAATAAATATATTCCATTACTAGATTTGTTTTATTCCATTATTTTTTTCATAATAAAAACTCCACTACATAAAACTTGTTGAATCTACCTCTCTCTTGCGCTCGTCTTGCTCAGTTTACTTCGTGCTCCCATTCTAGCAGTTAATAATTTAATTGATTTAATCATACACAATATCCCGCTCATCTCAACCCGTCGTCATTCGCTCGTTCCCTTTCCCCGCACTTTAACTGCCTCCTAGTTCATCATCCATCAGGCACACACCATATTGGCCCGAATACAACTTGCGACGAAATCACTTTTTGCTTGCCGTTCTTTGTGTTAGGTTAGTAAGTTGTTCAATTACATTACACATCCGTGTGCTTGCATGTAGTTTTTTTTTTTTTTTTTGTTATTTAGTACGATCGAAAAATAATTTCAAACATTAACTGATTCACTGACCCACCTGGCTGCTGTTTTCTCATACATCAGTGTTAGTAGTACGCCTAATAGTGTATGTGTGTGTGTTTACTCCAATATTGTGGACACAGCATCAAAGAAACAAAATAGAACAAAAACGATGATATCTTTGTTTATCAATAAATATACATAACAACACTAATTTTTTGTTTACTTTCTTTATATTTTTCTGGTATCGATTTAAATCTCGAAGACATGTCGCTGCTTGATTGATCTACAATGAAACAATTGAACATCTCTTCCTATATGCTTTGTTATTTTATTTTTAATATTTTTTTGTTCCGGTGAGTGATAAAAATAAATTATTTTTCCTACAAAATAAGCCCGCTAGACGTAATCTGTTCCAAAATATGTACACATAACAAAATATTTAACCGACGACGAACATTTGAAAGAACTTCTTTGCCATAATAAATAGGTGAACATTTCATTTTTTTTTTTTCTTCGGCTTTCACGTTTGCGGATTCGAATAAATAGATGGTTCCACATTCACGGGTTTCGACATTCACAGCAAACACGCTAGCACGTACCGACGAGAAAAACAAAATAATAACAATCTGCTCTGGTCGCAAAACACAATCACAATCCCGGTTGCGTTTCGTTTAGTGTAATAGGACTGCCTTCGTTTTCGGTTTCCAAGCTTGATTTCCTACTTTTTGAAATTAGGAGAGACTATGAACATCTAATCTAATTCTCTCCCCGGTCGCAATAGTCAATGCGACTGCTGATTTATTAGCTCAATTTGTATAAAGAGAGAATTACGTCTAAATATGTGTTCGCACGTGTGTTAAGTAGTGACAAAAAAACCTAAATAATTTCATAAGACAGAAAAAAAGGACTGAAAAATTGTAAACAAAAAATACTACCACTTTCAAATGTATACCCGCTTTAGATGAATAAATTTCCTACACTTAATCTTTCATCTCGTTTGTCTCATTGTCGTAATCATTTGCCTACATCGACTTCGTTCGTTTTCTATTTGCCGTCCTTGTCTAGCCTAGAGTCAGAAAGTTAGTGAAAACAGACACAAACAGATAAACAATCAAATCCTGTCTCTAAGGAAATATTGCAACACCATTAATTAGAAATTTCCATTTCCTTGCGTTAATTTTGCCTCCATTTCGCAATTCAGAGAGAGAGAGAGAGAGGGATGAATAGATTATATATATAGAGTTTATCGAAATATAGGTTTCCCTTTTTTCTGCTTCTAAGAATTTGCTTACTTCCATTTTCTGTTTGTATGTTTTAAGCTTAGAAGGTTTGAAGAGCGTCAAGAATTGAAAAAAATAAAACTACAAGTTCTATCGTCGACTAATTTGCATGCCTGAAGAGGAGGCATGCATCGTTTCGCGATCGATTCCTAAAATAAACAACGTTTCTAGTAACAATTACCACTAGCCACTACTGTATCCTTGCTAGTGCTACGCTGCGCATGCGCTCTTTAGTTTATTGCCTGCTCGGTCATCTGCAGACAGAGAAACTCCAGCCGGCTGTTGATGTCGCCGATACTGTTGTTCTGGCTTTTACTTCCCAGCAGATCCACTGGACTGGATTTCGGAACGGTCGCATCCGTAGCGATGGAACCAACAGCATCCGTCGGTTGAGATTTGCCCTTGCTGGAAAGAGGACCACCACCACTGCTCACTGCAGTAAGGAAAATCGACGGAAGCAGCGGGGGTTGCTGTTGCTGCTGCTGTTGGTTTTGTAACTGCTGTAGGAACTGCTGTTGATGCTGATGCGCAGAAATGTTGTTCAGCGAGTGGCGATGGTACATAAAGTTACCGTGAGGAACCTGCGGCTGTTGCTGTTGTTGGGTATGGTGTGTTTGCTGTGGTTGCGGTTGGGGTTGCTGCTGCTGTTGTTGCTGTTGCTGCTGCTGTTGCTGGATCTGATGCTGCCCTTGGCCTTGCTGTAAATGCTGCACGTGGTGTTTGATGTTGCTTCCGGAGCCACCACCGCTGGACAGATTCGACGCAAAGTTCGGATAGGACGAACTCTTGTTGTAATTGTTGTTGTGACCGGTTCCGGCATTCGGGTTGTGACCGTGACCGTAGTATTGATGTGGAATCGCTTGAAGATGAGTATGGGAAGAGGAGGAATTTTGCTGCTGGGATTGCTGCTGCGGTGGTTGTGGCTGCTGCTGAGACGATTGCGATTGTTGCATCGGAGAAGTGAAATACTGCAGGGAACTCTTGCGGTGAGGCGTTTTCTGACCTTCGGGTGGATTGTTCGGTTTGTGTTTGATCGTTGTGGACCACCTGGAAATGCGGAAACGGAAGGAAATTGTTGTCAAATAAAATCAAATGTGTTTTTGGAAATTTCAAGAAATTGCAGTTTAAGTTAAGTTGCCAACATGGTCTTGGGCTCCGGCACTTTCAAGGACAGTTTTTGGGAGAATTTCCATCTACCGGTCGAAGATCACAAAATCAATACATCAGGGTGTCGACTCAATGAAGAAAACCAAATTCGCTGATACTCCCTGATTTCCAACCAGCAATTCTTTAAAAAAAAATCAAGGTACGGTTGTCTACCCGGTTTTGGCAACACGACCTCATCAACTATTTCTTTCCTGAGATATATACTAACCCATGAAGAGTGGTCCAGTACAATTTCAAATTGAATAAAGCGTTCGAAACATTTTATGTAAAAAGAAATCGCTTGTTGCCAAAAACGGTAACGCACTCAAAATAAACCTACAAGAAAAGGCTTGCTTAATCGCTTAAAGTTTTCAGCACGTTCATGATCCGTTTATTACCTCGATTTAATCCCATGATACGAGAAGTGGTCCATGGCATGACAATTATCTTACCCTTAGATGTTTTTTTTTCTAACTGTTCCACATTTTGAGACATGGCGGGAAATAGTAAAAACAAACAGTGGTTTCACATCCAAAATCCTGAAAGTTAATTCAATTTCAATTGCAATAGCAGCAACATCACAATAGTCCCTGGGCCCTGGTAAAACCTTGAGGTGGTTGGATTAAAGGGTGATACGGTCAAAATTTGGTCAAGGGAAAACGCGTGTAAATCGGTGAAATCGTTTATTTAAAAAATCAAATTAAATTTCTTTTTCAAGTTCAATTAGTATAAAATTCAGGAAAAATATTCAGTTAGGCTTCCGCTTTTCCAAATCCGAATTGCCGGGCCTTACGCTTGACCCCTGCCATCAGATTTTGTACAGCCACCTTGTCCACCTTCTTCGCCGCAGAAAGCCAGTTTGCCTTGAACTGCTGCTCGCCCTTAGCAGTTTTTTTGGTCTTCTTTAGGTTCCGCTTGACAATAGGCCAGTATTTCTCAATTGGGCGGAGCTCTGGCGTGTTGGGAGGGTTCTTGTCCTTGGGAACCACCTGCACGTTGTTGGCGGCGTACCACTCCATGGCCTTTTTACCGTAATGGCAAGATGCCAAATCCGGCCAAAACAGTACGGAACAACCGTGTTTCTTCAGGAAAGGCAGCAGACGTTTATTCAAACACTCTTTCACGTAAATTTCTTGGTTGACAGTCCCGGAAGCTATGAAAATGCTGCTTTACAAGCCACAGGTACAGATGGCTTGCCAAACCAGATATTTCTTTGCGAACTTTGACAGTTTCATGTGCTTGAAAACATCTGCTACCTTTCCCCTTCCTTTTGCCGTATAAAACTCCTGTCCCGGAAGCTGCTTGTAGTCGGCTTTGACGTAGGTTTCGTCGTCCATTACCACGCAGTCAAACTTCGTCAGCATCGTCGTGTACAGCCTCCGGGATCGCGCTTTGGCCGTCGTATTTTGTTTATCATCGCGATTTGGAGTCACTACCTTCTTGTAAGTCGATAGTCCGGCTCGTTTTTTGGCTCGATGCACGGTTGTAGACGATACACCCAGCTTATTTGCGGCATCTCGGAGAGAGAGGTTAGGGTTTCGCTTGAAACTACCGGCAACTCTCTTTGTCGTCTCAGCGGCTTCCGGTTTTCGATTTCCCCCCGATCAAGACTTCCTGGCTGTCGACAAACGTTCCCCAAACACTTTAATTACATTTGTAACGGTTGATTTGGCAACTTTTAGCGATTTTGCCAACTTTGCGTGCGAGTAGCTCGGATTTTCGCGATGCGCGAGCAAAATTTTGATACGCTGCTCTTCTTGCTTGGACGGCATTTTGACAACTGAAGAGTGAACTCCAAAATCAAAATAGGAGCAACATTCTACACACACACACCTTCAAAATGAGGGGTGTTCAGGTTTTTTAAATGCAAAATTGAAAGAAATACGTCAAGTTGATATTGACCAAATTTTGACCGTATCACCCTTTAGGCTACCAGGTCCCAGGGTTGGTCTGGATCTTTACCTCATTGGAAAGATGCACACTATTATTATTATTATTATTATTTGATATAATTCATCTGACACTTTTTTGTCTTAATGAATAACATAATGTAGGGTTCATACAAATATACATAAATAAAATTACACAAATTTAGTCAAGTATTACGAAAATGGTCAGTAAACCGTCGTTGCAGCGTGGACACCGGTACGTTGAAGTCGAATAAATGAAAAACTTCATCAAAGGTAGCTGACATAAATCTAACCGGATCATGCTGTCCATATAGGGTATTGCGGGGTTCAAACTGTAGGAAATTTCGTCGTCGTAGTAAACGTTCGGGGGCGTAGATATTCATTCTTGCTAGTAAGGATGGTGAATCAATGTCATTCCTGAGGATTTTAACGACGAACATCGCTTGAGCAACTTGACGTCTATTTTTCAGCGTTTCTATTCCGAGTAGCTGACAACGATCCTGGTATGGTGTCAGATGCTGAGGATGACGCCATGGAAGGTTCCTGAAAGCATAACGTACAAACTTCCTCTGTACAGATTCGATTCGTGTAATCCAACTATCGTGATAAGGACACCAAACGATTGCTCCAAATTCCAGAATTGACCGTACTAGAGCACAGTACAATGACCTCAAACAGAAAACATCACGAAATCCACTAGCAATTTTCATAATGAATCCAAGCTGCCTGTTTGCTCTAGAGATGATGTCATCATAGTGGAACCGGAAAGTGAGTTCTTGATCGAGACTAACTCCCAAGTCTCGAATACGTTGTACCCGCGCTAGAGGTTGCCCGGATAACGAATATGGATATACGATTGGCTTGAACTTTCTGCTGAACGTGATTACCTGACATTTCTCGATGCTGAGAGTCATACAGTTCCTTGTGCACCAGTTTTCGAAGGAATTCAAGATATTCTGCAGTTCGAGACAGTCTTCAAAGCTGTTTACAATGACGTAGACTTTAGCATCATCAGCATAGAAAAGTCGCACTCCCGGTGGCAGAATCAGTGACACATCGTTGATAAACAAGGAGAACAACAGTGGTCCCAGGTTGCTCCCTTGTGGTACGCCAGATTGATTAACGAACATCTCCGATTGACTTGAACCGATTTTTACACACAAGGATCTGTTGGTTAGGTACGACCTGAACCAATCCACTGAAGCAGACGTTACACCAATCTTCTCCAGCTTCTTCAGAAGGATGTTATGATCAACCCGATCGAAAGCAGCCTTCAGGTCCATGTAGACAGCGTCCACCTGCTTCCCAGAATCGACTGCTTGAATGCACAGAGAGGTAAATTCAGCAAGGTTTGTAGCAACCGACCTTTTTGGATAGAATCCATGCTGATCAACCGAAAAGTAATGTTTAGAGCGGGCAAAAAGAACGTTCACGATGATTTCAAATACCTTTGAACATGCACACAAGGAGGTTATGCCACGGTAATTGCTGACATCTCGTTTATCCCCCTTTTTGAAAACTGGAAACAAGAATGATGATTTCCAATTCGAGGGAAACACTCCTTGTTGAAACGAAAGGTTGAAGAGTTTCATCAAAGGTTGACATAGCGCAGAAGTACATCTTTTCAGCATCGCTGAAGGAATTCCGTCAGGTCCAACAGATAGCGAGAATTTCAGTTTACTTATTGCCCTCGCAACCTCATTTTCATCGATGTAGAAATTGTCGAAGTCCAAGACGTCCTGTGGAGTATCTCGAACTGCCTCTTCAACTTGAGCAGGTTGCGCAGCGAAATTATTGAAGGACACTTTGAATTGGGATGCAAAGAGTTCACATTTTCCAGCAGTTGAGTCAGCAGAGAGATTTCCTAGATACATTGACGAAGGAAGACCCTCTTCGTTACGTTTAGATTTGACAAACGACCAAAATTGCTTCGGGTTGGTACGTAGGTTGCGCTGCATCCGAATTATGTACCGAGCGTACAAGAAACGGTTGTGGTTCCTGTGTGCTCGGCTTGCACGATTGAACTGTAGTTTTAAGTGCAACGAACGACTGCTGCAATATTTTCGAAGGGCCGAAGAACGGTGGCGTTTAAGCATTCGCAAGCGATTGGTTGACCAGGGTGGTTTCTGTGCAGCTCCAGCAAGAGGTACATGTTCAGCGATAATACTGCTTACAGCGTTCGTGAAAAAATCCACAGCATCATCCAAGTTCTGGAATGAATTAAGGTAACTCCAATCGATAGCAAGTAGAGCTTAATTCATCGCAGCAAAATCAGCCTTTCGGAAATTGAAACTGGTGTTATCATGCACCGCTTCGTATGAAACTGGGACCGTATGGGATAATGCAACCTCTATGGCTGGATGATGAATATCAATAGAAGTCAGTGGTTCGATGGCTTCTGAAACCGTACAATTAGGCAAAGCGATGTCATTTGCAAGTATTAGATCGAGGATGCGGCCTTTTGAATTTGCAATCTGGTTGAGCTGCGATAATCCATGCAAGTTGAATCCGTCCACCAATGCGCAGCTGGCGGTTGAAAGACAGGAACGATCCATGTCCACAGAAGAGTAACCTCGAAGTTTTAACGGTCAACCAACCATCAACATCTCGGCATGATCCGCCAAGGGTGAGGCGCGTTACTCGCGTCAACACTGAAGCTCCATCATTGCAGGAGATAGAAGCAGCCATCCGAAGTATGAAGTCCAACAAAGCCCCGGGGGTCGATCGCATATCAGCAGAGATGCTCAAAGCTGACCCCATGCTATCCTCACAAATGTTGCATCAACTATTCGTCAATATCTGGGACACCACGACTTTTCCGGCCGACTGGATGCAGGGCGTCCACCTCAGTGGCGTCGGCCTAACCTCAATCTACCTGTTCAGCAACTTTCAAAACGTAATCAAATAAAACAATATTGGTATCAATTAATATAAATCAGTGAAATTATAAGACCCTGTGCATTTTGAAACTTATTTGAATGTTAAAATGAC